CGACACTGCACTGCTGCCCCCACCCCCACCCCCACCACCACCCCACACACCGCGCAGCACGCCGCAACATGCAGCAAACGCCTGACAGATTACCAACATATTTAAATCAATCTAATATTATAAAAGCAAATGTTTAGATGAATGGATGTCTGTTAGAAGGTATTTCAAGAACGGCTACGTATAGATGTGGAACATAGTCTGGAAGTTCATCAGTATCACTAATTAGTATTTTAATTAGCATCACTAATTCTTCTTCTTGAGATGCGTCTCCAACTAACGAAGGTTGGCGATCAGTTCTCCATATCATCCCTTGTCTCTTGCGAGGCGAAATGGTTGTGCGGCACTCACAACCCCTGTCCACTCTGCTGTTATTATGGATGTTGCTATTATTATTTCTATAGTATATTAATCTTTGCAACTAGTTATTAGTAATTTTGATAATGACGTAAGTACATACATCGTTGTCCCGTGTGTCGAGGCACTGTCGGAAGTGGTTGATGCAGGGGTAGTGCAGTGCGGGGGCGGGGGCAGCGCGGCCCAGCACCGCCGCCATGCCGCGCGCACCTGTGATAGCCTCCATGCGCTGCTCGGCCGCCTCTGTACACACGACTTTATTAAATATTGCTGCAACTATGAAATGGATAAAGAAGGGGTAGACTGAGAAGGATTTTTTCGATCTCTTACAAAGGGACATACTTTACCTTTACCTGTCTTCTGTGAAGTTGTTATATTTAATGGGAAATTTTTTGGGCCGATTAATCGGTAAAGCGATCGGAGCAACGGGAAACACATTTCAAATAGTTGATGCTGTAAAAACACTGGACTGTCTACACGGGACCGAACCTTATCTGACCAGTATACTTGATCTTCCTAACAAAACTAGGTATTATATAACACAAGTTCAAGACATACCGGTCTTGACGCTCTCCACTAGCTTCGCTAGCGCACTCTGCAGCAGCTGCGCATGTCTCTCCTTCGTATCGGGCAGTAGGGCTGCACGTTTGCACTCCGCGCACTGCTGCAGCAATAGAATGCCCGCCTCAGACACCACCGGCTCTCCCTTACTCTCCTTCAGTACTTCTGTAGCTAGGTAGAGAATCGTTGGCAGGAGAGATAATGCACCTGGAAAATGTAATCGTTGGTTAAGAAATTTAACTATCGTAATAGAAAAGGAGCGTTCCTATCGATTATGCGATTGTACGTACAAAATACGTACGTACATAAAAACAAACAATTTCAATTTATGGTCACATAATTTAGTATAATTTAGGATTGTCAAGCGTTGATTTGTTCATTAAAAAAATGTGTACTTTTCTTTCCTAAACACCGACTGTTCTAGTTATTTATACTAATTTTATAAAGATACTAGCGGACCCGACAGACGTTGTCCGACAATTTGACACCGCGATGGTAGCGCCGTCTGTCGGATCCAATGTAAAACATTCCAAAATCAACAACTACTAATAAATTAAAAAATAATTTAAAAAAACATTGTCCAGCGGACAAAATTGTGAATCTAAACCATTCCCAGATCCCCTTGAACACATACAAAAAATTTCATCAAAATCGGTCCAGTCGTTTGAGAGAAGTTCAATGACATACACACTCACAGAAGAATTATATATATAAAGATGATTATTTGCATTGGGCTCCGAAACTACTGAACCGATTTGAAAAATTCTTACATAGTTGGGAAGCTACACTATCCCCGGTTGACATAGACAATATTTATTACTAGATTTTTTATCTTCGCAAGAACGAAGTCGTTGGATCTGCTAGATTAATATAAAGAATAGTTTTCACTGTAGTGAACAACGATAACATTTTTTTTTACATAGAAAACCTCTCTTACATTACCTTGTGGACTTGTCAGTGAGGTCAATTCCGACATCGCAGCTAAACTCTTCACCAACAAAGTATCACCATGTACTCCCAGCCCTTTAGGCACTCCGATGACTCCGACCTTGCCCTCCTGCTTGAGAGGGCTGAGGGCGGGCAGTCTCCGCACTAGAAGGCACACGCACGCCTCCAGACATGCAAACACGACCGACTTGGTGGGGGGCAGATCACCAGTAGGACCCCCCTCGCCGAGAGTATGGACAACTTCCAGTACTGATTGTGGTATGTTCCCTTCAGATGCATTGGGCGCTAATTCTAAAATAAAAAAAAAATAATTTCAATGGGCTTGTTAGTTAATATCGTAAGGATTTTTTTTGTTGTTTTTTTTCGTATAATTCAATATGTTAAAGGAAGGCGTATTTATTCCAATATAATTTCTTATTATACAACTAAAAAAAACTTAAGTGTTTTAGTTTTTTGTTGTTTAATATGCTGGATTATGAGCTATGGAATTAAAAAAACTATTTTTTTTTTGTAAAGTTACGATTTTTGCATTAATATAAACACTTATTTAAGCTAAAACAAACACACACACACATATACGCTTAACTTGTTACTTTAGCTTAAAAACTTAGCTTATTTCGTGATACCTTTGATCTTAGCCTGCATATTAGCATGCAGCTGCTCCTTAGCGCCCTCTATGACGAGCTGCAGCACATCAGCCGCCAGCAACAGCGCCTCTATGCTCTCCTGAGTCAGCCCCGTGCGGTGGATGATCTGACACAACTCTATTGCTAAAGCCCTGGAAATATTATGAAAAATGTTATATATTTCTTTATTTATCACTAGCTGTAAGCCGCGACTCCGTCCGGGCGGAGTAAAAAAAAACACTTCACTAGTAGCCTATAATGTAATAAACTTTTTTTATATATCCTAAACTTGCGATTAGAAGGATATTAGCTTTGTCGGATCTAAAATGACAATATGAAAAATCGTATACATTAAAAAAAAATGTTCTCCCGAAATTTCAAAACCTTGTAATTTGGTTTATGAAATTAATAATAATCAGCTAAATATTAAGCTATTTTCTCACCTATCCTTTAATAAACGTGCTCTGTTCTCAGGCGCGTCCAGTAACGTGACGAGAGCCAGCAACACGCTAACTATATCGTTGTTATTCATGTCACGCTGCGCACATAACGCCTCCATACATATACCTACAATAAAGTTACATTATCTGGTTTCCATTGAAAGTAGAAAAAACATTGTCAAGATGGAGAATAAATGAATACGGGGCTAGACAAAGTACATTCTTCTCGAAGCGATTTTGTAACCAATTCCAAAAATGTATGAAACTGACGCATAATCACGTGACTTATCGAAAGTTATTGAAGTTCGTTATGGAATCGCTTATAAGCGAAGCATTTTGTCTAACCCCGATGGTTAGATTAATCTATGACAACTGACACCTGACATTATGCGATATGACACGCGATGTTATTAAAAAAATTACCAAAGAGTAGATGGAATCTCTCATCAACTGGTTCGAAGAATTCAAAATTGCCATTTTCCGTCTTAGTCGATCTGTTATCCATAGTACTGTCAGTATTTTCTGAAATAAAATAAAAAAATAATTAATAGTAAGGTTTTTGACAAATTTTCTTCAATCTTCATACTCCAAGTTATGTCAGGGCTATTTCCCTTATATTAACCCCATATATATTTTTATAAACGAGTATATAGCCAAGCCAAGCCAACTTAAGCCTGGGGGCTACAATCTTTTACATTACATAACTTTTCAATGCATCCAAAAAAGTAGTTCCATATTTTTCTGCAATATTAAGAGGTTTTTTATATTTCTGGTTCTACTATACTAACGATTATCATCAGTTTTAGCTGGTGGTATATCTCTGAAGTTGGCATTGTATCGTAGAGCGGCTGCGTACAGCAGTGAAGGCCAGGCGCGTACGTAATGCGCACGCGACGCCTCCGCAGTCTCCGCGGAGTAAAACGCCCCGCCTCCATGTGGCAGCTGCGATGCGAACTCTGAAATATACAACTTTAATGATCCCTTATGACACTCAGTGATGGAATACGAATAGAATGACACCTAACTTGTCATAATCAATTTATCGTGGGTTTCTGATACCAATATCTCTGTATGAACTATGTAGACATCCCTGTCACTATCTCTGGCATGACAGAGATAATATCCTTTAAATAGAGATGTTGAGCTCAGAAACCCACGATTTTTCTTAGTTACTCTACAAGAGGTTACAATGTAACTAACGTATAAACCATAGTCAATTAGGTAAAAAGATGTTATTACGATTAATATGTTTGTCTAATTGCCTTTTAGAGATTAGTGTAGATTTAATATGAATAGAGCCATTTAAAATTCAATATATGTTATTTTATATGCACAAACACACGTACGCACGGACGCATGCGTACGCATTTTTGTACGTACTCTAATAAATAAAAATAAAATTATCCTCGTACCTGGCGGTAAACTCAACAGAGCGTGGTCTTTCAACGCCGCCAGCCAATTCTCTCCCAAACTCTCCAACTCAGGTTCCACGAGCTTTAATAGACTTTCTCCTTTCGACTCGAATTCTCCGTACTCCTCGTCATCTTCTTCTTGAGTCGCGTTGTCTATTTGATTGTTGTTCTGTAACACCTGCAAGAGTAGTAGGCAAAGTAATCAAAACAGTGCTTTCGTGTAGTTGAAAAGTATTAAAATGTGATTATAATATTTTTCTTTGCATTTTCGATTATAAGTAGAAATCTCTCAAAAACCCTGTCTTTCTACCGATCCCGGAACACTTTTATTTCACTCGAGTTTGGGTACCGAGGGAGTTTTAGTGGGTTTTAATGGGTACATAACCTGATCTTCCCACAGAAGGCAGTGTATTCTAAAATCTCCCCTCTCCATACCAAGAGGGTAGATACTTGAAGATTTCTGTCATTACCAATGTGTAAGATTCAATGTTGTTACCTTGTTCCGCCACTTGGCGAGTTCTGCCCTGTTATTGAAGGGCTTGGTGTCGAGCTGACGCACGTAGCTGCCCGGCGCGCTGTCGTTGCTCACCATAGCCACTATATACACCTGAAAATTACATATTTAGTGCTTGTAAGAAATTTTTAGTACTTCTTGTACGGAGCTCGTAAGAGTACAACATCATAGATAATTGTATTAACATTTGTACAGCGCCCCTACCGGACATAAAGTACACTAAGATATTTAATACAAATTTTGACATTTTGTCAATGATTTTTTATTATTTATTTAACAATACAATTTTGAATACAAATAAACATATATTTAACGCTAAATAAACCTCATTGGTTTGGTACAAGCGTTAAGGTCTAATTGCGAAGGCGTGTCGCAAACATTCGTGTTAGATTGTGTTTTGAAGGTCTCTGTGGATTGAAATTACGTAATGCGCCATTATTTACACTTCAACCAAAGAAATACTGACACATTTTACTTTCAACTCTAAAACAATTTTTTTTTTAATGGTAACATCAAAGTAACATACTCGGTTGTCACAGCTCTATATAGCAGTGTGCGAAAGAGACAACGCTATAAAAATCCCATATAAGCGCTGTCTCTTTTTAAATAACGTAGGTGAGACAAACTACAATAGACCTACCTCAGCCCAGGCCTTTAATATAGATAACTTCTCAAGTGTAGCCATACTCTCATTGTATATAAGCGTCGTGTTCCCTTTCTTGTTCAATTTATCCAAACTGGATACAAGGAGTTGGTGAACTCTGAAATTGAAATAAAAATAAAAATGTATGTCATGTTTTTTTCTCATAATTTATACTTTAACACATTAAATGCCGCTTAGATTTTATTGTATTAAAGTTAATGAACTTGCATTTTGATAAGTTGTATGTGGACACTGAAAGTGTTAGGTTTGTATTTAAAAAAAACAGTAGTGATTTCACTAACTTGTCAACATTTCTAATGTTAAGTGATGTAGTCAAAGAGCCAACCAAATTATAGTCAAAGAGCTGTACCTGCGCAGATCATCAATATCCCTAGCGACACCGCAGCCAAGCCATGCGGAGCACAGATCGCACGCAGCCGCCGTCACGTGCGAAGCTGTGTCTCGTGCGAACGCCGGCCGCACCGCCGCCCCCACCTGTACAACGTCACGTCAAATATACGATACGTCACGTCAATCTCAGTCACAACACATCATACACTAAGAATCATGACGTTAAATAGTAACACACGTCATACATCCAATGACGCCACGTCAATCACACCGACGTAACCTCAATCAAAGTCACGACACGTCACACAATAAGCGACAACGACTTCATATATCTAATAAATCCTTTTTCTATCTTACCTGAGCCTGATACTGCTCGAGAAGCAGATGTCCTGGGAAGTCTGGCTCTGGTGCGCGCGCGAACAGCTGTATGATGGTCTGCAGCGTGCGCAGCCCGGCCAGCCGCAGCGCGTCAGACTCGCCTGTCGCACCCACGAATGCCATACGCACCAAGTCTGACACGTGCAGGGATAAATAGTCACCTGGACACAAATATGAAAAATTACGTTAGGAAAAATGTGATTTTTACATCAAGCATATTTTCATTCGAAATATAGCATTCATTGCGGGCTTCTGAGATCAAAATCACCGTTTAAAACATATTATTATCTCTATTTTGACAAAGATAATGACCAGGAGTATGTTTTATATAGAGCTATTTTATATTATGAAAGTCACAATTAGTATTGTAAATTTTATGATTATAAGAGATATACCGTTAGGATCATTTTGCAGTTTCTCTTTAGCTTTGACGAGATCGAAATGCGCGCTATCGCCAGTCGCCTCGCATGCACCCATCATTTTTTGAATGCATTCCATTGCGAACACCTGAAATAAAACGAATAAATACCACTTAGAAATTCAAGTTATAGAAGTTTTTGTGTATAAGTAAATAAGTAATTTTCAATTTAAGAAATAAATAAGACAGGGTTATTAATACCTTAGTGGACCATCTAGGCTGTATAGCAGGATGGGTTGACTGCTCCGACTCTGCATGGAATTCAACTTGATCGTCATCGCCTTCGCCGTCAAAATCTGTCTCTTGGTTTGTGTTGTCCTCTAGAAAATTTCAAAATGTTACGAATAAAATATGTTACAAAGTCATCTAAATTTCATAGCGTCTCACAAATATTAATAGAAGCAAAACACAATTTTAGTTATCGGACGTGGGTACAGGTATGCAGGGTCGGGGCACGAACATGCGTAACGTAACGTTCGAAATTGACGTACCAAGTCCTGTATTAATCTCCAGTTTGCACTATTCCAATCCAGCAATCGTACTCAGCACTGGATTCCTTCTTGGTATAATGTAAATCCATACTATGTCGCATTTCGGTATTTTTTACTTTCCCAGGTGTAAAGCAGCAACAGCTGCGTTTTGGACAGTTTTTTCCTCTGCTGGACTGGAATAGTGTAAACAGATACAGTACTATGTACCAAATTGTATAGCAACGTAACATACCCAGTCGTAAGGTAAGCACTCGCTTGGCGAGCTGCAGCCAGTCGTGCAGTCTGCGCGCGCCCGCCGCCGCCAGCAGGCAGCAGGCGAGCGTGTCACGTGCGTGAGACTGCGCCGCACTGTCACGCTCCGTGTCTAAGTACGCGAACAACGCGCCCGGTAGTCCGCTACTGGTTATTGTTACACCTACACAAATTTATATACAATTTATCATATTATTGATATTGATCACCAAAGTAATATATACAATTCTTTAAATTAAAAGTCCGGAGTCAGCATCGAATAATAATAAACTCGTGTTTAATGCATCTTTCGAATGCGAATCCAGCTGAGTAATTCACCAAGACGTGAATTTTGCTGTTTGTTGTTGTTTGTTGTTGCTGTTTGCTTCATGACAAAATATTAAAGTGAAAAAGGGGGAAGTGGACAGCACCAGACCACAGGGAAGATCGCCATGAGATGGACTGACCAAATCAGAGCGGCTGTAGATGTCCTCCTACACCAATGTATTACAAAGGCAGCGACTAGGTAGGAGTGGCGGCGCCTGGTGAAGCATGTCACTGATACTAGATGACCACGACCAGTCTGAAAAGACTGCAACCTCGAAGAAGATAAGGATAAATAGTTTGAGTATCTGTTTTTACTTACCACAGTAGGGTTTGGCTGGTACATGGTCCTTCGCTAGTAGCGCATAGCGGCACACCTCGGCCGCTTCTTTCTGTGAGAGCTGACGTAAGCAGCATAGCGCAGCTCGCCGCACTGCCAACTCAGAGCTTGATAAATCCCGCTACAAATTATTTTCATATTTTAGTGACTGACATATGAATTAGACTGTAATCCGTTACTTTGGGTGAAATTAAAGAATAATCTATGCGCTATTCTATACTGTAATCTATATTTGTTACATCCGTATGTTGCATGTTAATATACATCCATACATCCAAATATGACTTACTAGCTTTTGCCCGCGATTCTGTCCGCGCGGTATTAAAAAAAAAACTTAATTAGTAGCCTATATGTTCTTCCAGACTATGTTCTACATCTATGCCAAATCACCAAGATCCATACAGCCGTTATGGAGATACCTTTTAACAAACATCCATCCATCTAAATTTTTCGCATTTATAATATTAGTAAAATAGTAAATTTCATGACATGTATGACCTATACAATAATCCTCAATTATAATATACTGACGCATAGCTGAGGGACTAAGAGATGCAGATTGATGCTGCGTGGTGAGAACATCTGTAGCTGCTGCAGACAGCCGATGCTCTCAGCGCGCGCGCCCCCGCCGCCGCACTCCTGCAGCGCTGCGCACGCGCAGATAAACCGGCTCACTGCGCCACCGCCAGCTAATAAACAAGTCATTATCAAACATTTCTTCTAGACCAAACTCTTATGCTAATATTCTTACATTCCAAAATTTTCTGACTAGCTGTTACCCACGTCCTCGTATGCGCGGAATTAAAAAAAAAAACTAGTAATAAATATAGCCAATATCACCCGAGGATAGTATAGCTTTCGAATATTCAATATAACATAAAAAAATTAAATCGATTCATAAGTCTCAGAGCATATTCAATACAAACAAACAATCAAATCTGTCCTGTTTATTAGTATAGATAGTCCACAATGAAGAAATAGGAGGTCGAAAATGGTCTGAATTGTTTTTAGACAAGGATGATACCGCTGTGCCGCTTTTTTTTCTTGACTTGGCAGGGGCATTGCTGTGCCCCCAGGAAAACAATTATTTCACATAACTCTTTAGCATTACTTAATGTTATCATTATGGTCATAGCCATCGTTGTTGTTTAGTTATAAAATTATCATTGCAACCTAAAATTAATACCTTGCAACTCAGGGCCGACGACTGTAATAAGAGCGGAGAGCAGACGACCGATAGCACGGTGCAGATCCTCCTGGTATGGTGGCGAGCTGAACAGCAGCTTCAGCGCCAAGTTGAGGGTAGACTCCACGTGGCCGCGGAACATTGGACCTGATGCGTCTACAAGTACAGAGAGTGCATGCAATGACCACACCTGAAACACAAATAATAAGAAATGAAAAAACTGTAATTTCTTCGAAGATTAAAAAATACTCTCCACAATTGTCTTATTAATAGAATACACAGGAGACTTACTAATTAAAAAAAAAAAACAGTAAGCGCAAGCTATAACCTCACATATACAGGACGATCACTTTAACACTTGTGACAAACCACGGAGGTTTAAAGGTTTAAAAGGTGAGACAAATTCGAATAATTGCAGGGAACTAATTAAGTTTTTTTTTTCATTCCAAGCGGACGGAGTCGCGGGCGACAGCTAATATGTAATAGTTTTATTGTAAAATTGTATTGACAATAAATTAAAAAAAAAAACCAGCAAAACTCACTTGTAATTCAACAGCAGCTGTATCCTGCGCAAGCGCACGCAACACTGGCAGTGCCGCTGCACTGGAAGCTGCGCCCCTCGCCCGCTGCACCGCGCCCACAGCAGCAGCTGCTGCAGCGCGCACAGTACGACTTGGCGCAGTACGAGCTAACGCGACCACACGCTCGCTCAACGCCTGCGAGTCTGAGTCCGTCACGCAGCCGCACAGTCTGCCCGCACACGACGCCGCCGCCGCACGCACTGTCACGCTGTTTGATGATAGACCATTCTGGAAAATATACAATATTAAATAAGAAATCATACAAATCAGGTCATTTTCAGAATTTTAAATAGCAGAAGGTCCTTCGAGCCGGATATGATAATTCATCCATAACTATATTATTACTGTATTTAGTCATAAAAGACATCAAAATAACTCACGCCAGTATGCAAGAGGTAGACAGACACCACGGACTTAGGGCGCGCTACTGATATACCCTCTCTCGTTTCTTTTATATCCATATACACATACATAACGGTTTCATATACTCTTAGGACCGCCGTCCTTGATTATTTCATCAATTTGGACGGTATAAGTCAACTAGGAAAGTCCCGAACATTGAAATTATAGTAAAAGATCTTTGTAACTATACATACAATGATAAGTTCTACAGCAACATTTTTCACAGGTTCCTGTCCCAGCGATGTCTTGGTATCAGCGAGAGCGCGGAGAGCGAGCAGCAGCGCTGTGTATACGTTGATCTGAATCGCCTCCTGACGAGCACCCTTCGACATCTTGATGCACTCCGCGAAGTGCTCCAGCATCTGCTGTCTAGATGACACAACATAGAAAAGACATGATCTTACTAATGTTATAAATGCGAATGTTTGGATGGATGTTTGTTAGAAGATTTCTCCAGAACGCCACAATTGATCTCGATGAAGTTTGACATTTTATATTACTCTTTTAAGTAAAAGCTTTCGAGAGTATTTCGTTCACTGACCTGTGCTTGTTGGCTGCTCTGGAGAATATTTGCGGGAAGAGCAGTACGGAGGCGTCAATGACGGCCACGCCCAGCGGCTGCGCGCCAGCAGCGCCGCGGTACAAGCAGCACGGGTCGTGCTCCAACGCGCCTGACCCGCTCGCACTCAGCGGTGAGATCAGCTGGAAATACATACATTCAGTATACTTCGTTCTCTCTCTCTCTCTCTCCCTCTCTTTTTCTCTCTGTCCCTCTCTTTCTCTCTCTCTCTCCCTCTCTTTTTCTCTCTCTCCCTCTCTTTTTCTCTCTGTCCCTCTCTTTCTCTCTTTCTCTTCAGCCGTATGACCTCCCCAAATATGGTCACGATATTACTTCGTTCATTCGCCCTTACCTTGTACAGTAACTCAGCATACTTCGTTCAGTAACTCGATATACTTAGTTCATTCACTCAGTTGAATTCTTTATATTTGGTTAAATAACTCAACAGTATTGTTCATTCACTCAATCAATCTATATGTAGTTCAGTTCACAAGTATTTACCTGTTCTTCAATTTCAGCATGATCAGTTTCATAGATCCAACCCTCTTCACCCAGCAATATAGTATCTCGGGGGTGCATTGCATTCCTCAGAATACCTAAAAAAAACATCTTATTCTATGCTTATAAAGATAAAAAATTCATTTGCTGAATTATATGCTTGAATTATGCTAGTCTAAAAAAGCAAAAGAGCGTCGGTGGCTGAAGGGTTTCAGCACTTAACTTGTAATCTGAACGTTCTAGGTTCGAATCCAAATTTTTCAATTTACATATGTACATTTATCCGACGTTCTTACGGTGAAGGGAAACATCGTGATGCTGCACATATCTGAGAAAAATTTCAAAGATATGTGTGAAGTCAACCCGCACTGGGCCAGCATTGACTTTGACCTAGTCACCTCTAACTTAGGGTAGTTTCCGAGGTCCTTCAATGGGGACGCATAATGAGCTGATTGATGTATACAGCAAAACTTATTCTTACCAGTAGCAACATTAGCGCCGCTAGGATCGGCCGAGCCCGCCAGCTCAGCGGCGAGCAGGCGCAACAGTGGCGCTGCGGGCGCGCCGGCCCCGCCCAGCGCACCGCACGCCTGGTACAGTCGGAGACGCAGTAACGCTGCCGGAGCTTTCAGAGCCCCGCCGTAGTTACGTACCACTGTGCTCACACTGACAAGAAAAAAGTGTATTTTAAGTGTTATTATATTTACAACGAAAAAAAGCAAAATATTCTAGATATGTTACTTATTTATATCTATTAAGTAAATCGAATGTTTGGATGGATGGATGGATGTTTGTTTGAAGATATCTCGAAAACAGCTGTATGGATATCGTTGAAATTTGGCATAGATGTAGAACATAGTCCGGAAAAACACATAGACTACTAAGTTAAATTTAATACCGCGCAGACGGAATCGTGGGCTACAGCTAGTCAAGAAGAAATTACATACAAGTTTGTGTAAAAAATAATTGACTTACTTGGTAAGAACAGCTATGGCGCCATCTATGGGCTGAGTGAGACGTTTGGCGGTGTCATCGTTGTGTACTAACGAAGGACAGTGTATAAGCAGACTGTGGAGTGCTGACAATGCGCCTGCACGACCTTCTAATGTCACCTAAGTAAAAACAGAGTAAGTATATATAAGGAGCAAAGTTTTTGTATGTTTGTAACAGGTAAACTCCAACTACTGGATTAATTTTAGAAATGCTTTCACCATTACGTAGCTACATTATTTCTAAGGGACATAGTATATAATATTTTTATATTATCCTGTAATATTTTCAATAATAATAAAAAAATATGTCTACCCAAATCGTTACTATACTTCTTACTAATATTATAAATGCGAATATTTGGATGTATGAATGGATGGATGTTTGTTAGAAGGTATCTCCAGTACAGCTTAACGGACCTCAGTTAAATTTGGCATAGATATCGAAATGTGGAAGAACACATAGACTACTAATTTTTTTTAATTCTGCATGGTTGGAGACGCGGGCGACAGCTAGTTCATAATATATGAGGAGTCCATTACCTGCCAAGTGAATGCATCTCCCCTAGCCTTCTCTGACTCCAGTTCCTTAGCGGAGCGTGGGAAGCTGTTCCTCCAGAGTAGCAGCATACGGGGCAGTAGTCCACGTACCACCGGCACACCTGCAACATATTGTTTATATTACAAAGTGTTTTACAAAAAATAACAAGAAAACCGAATAATCTACATATTGTATCAAAACTTCCTATACACTCATCAGTATTACAAGAACATAACTCACGCCCGTAATCCAGAAGGGTAGACAGAAACCACTGACCTCCATTGCACTTCTGACACATCTTTCTCACTTCTCCGTGAGTATTATTGTAAGAATCCGGTGTCATCACGAATGAGATGACACCGGTGTTGGCGACGAATATGTTTATTTTGAATTAAAATAATCAAGACGTCGAATACACATTTATCATCAAATGTTAATTGGCTTTTTTAAAGGAACGGGCATCAAAAGGAATTTTTTGTAGTAAAGCAGTAAAGATAATTTTAAAATACGAGAAACGAAATGTGCATTCCTTAAAGACAATAGAGCTGCAGATTGGCCATTTTATGGCAGACATTAGAGGAAGGAATTTTTGCATTTAAAAATATTAAACAATAACAAAATTCAACGTTTCTTGAAATTTGACAATAGATGCAAAAGACGGCCACGGCGAGGGAGTCATAAAATGTTTTAAGTTTATTGCACCTAATTTCTATAATGACTTGCAAGATGTGCAAGAACCGTGGGACCAGATGCCAAGAAGGAATTCAAGTAAATAATAAATATTTAAAATAGTGATATTCGATATTAATTAATATAGTGAAATTAGTATGTGAAATAAGTGAGTGTCGCCACAGTTTTATCCCCAGTTAGAGTCAGTGTAAATAACTCGTGTATGTCATATGTATAGATTTTAAGGTACATCGCCACTATAATGTAAGTTTAATGTTAATTGTTTATAACCTATATATTATTGTTATCATTTCTTGGATAGGTTATTTACCAGAATGTACTTTCGCGTGAATTGATTTTTTATGTTTTTTAATGTCGAAGTAGCATCCCACTCCCCATACATGTCTATATAATTTTTGAACACAACATTTATGGAAACAATTTTAATAATTCATACATCTTAGATTGATTGTAGTCTGTAAATGACGTGTGTATTTTTATGTCTAAGCTGTCTGTCTTGATATTTATGTTTAACCTATGTTTATGTTAAATAACATAATGTAGAATGTGTGTAATATAAATTATTTGTATTTTAATGTGTGTTAAAATAGTCTTATGCATAGGTTATAATTGTCGATGTTATGTTGTGTTCTATTTGTACTTTTAATGTCTTTTGTAACTATTTTGTATTATTTTCAATTAAAGATATGTCTAAAGGGTCAGTCGAAACATGCGGGGGTCCAAGCGCTACCTGCTTAGCGCGCTTATAAATAGAGCGCCGTTCGGCGCAACACCAGTCGCATCACAGCTTCTACCGAGACCACACGCACGCGTTTTGACTGACCCCGAAGAATTACACAATTTAATTTAAAGTGTTTCTCTTGGGCGATTTTCCTGCGTTTTTGGTCGTAGCAAAATTGGCTACTCTTTTGAGGGTCCTGGATCGGTGTTACCGGCGCAAAGTGAGGTCCGAGTTGCGTGCCGCAAGGTGCAAAACGAGGTCCCTTACTTTATCTTATTATCACCGGTCACCCAATTGGGAGCTTGTCCCAGGCAGCGAGTAGGTAGTGCCTTCACGGGTGCTACCTAGCTTCAAGCAGCCGAAACAGCTGGTCCTTCGAGCCGGATTTAAAGGCCGTATATTACGGCCGATCTACAAGGGAGTAGAAAAAGAAGAAATGGCGTCGACTCCAAGATTTTGTTTGAAGAACGCGTCTCGTCGGACCCCATCGCCGCTCTCTACAAGGCGCGCGACTGTTGCATGCAACATATGTCCGAGAGATGTCTGTTTGTCGACGATATCGAGAGATACACAAGCTGCTACGAAGGAAGAAGCACATAATCATGGTACGGCGATGTCTGTGGCAGCCGTACAAAATACAGCTATTATGAGCCCATCGACTGCATCGATACACGGTGTAACTACAGCCGCTGTATCGGTGAGGCATAGCTGTACTGAGTCCACGAGTTCCTCGAGGAAAAGCCGCGAGCTATCGGCTAGAGTAAAATTAGCCGCGGCTGAATTAAAATTGGCTCGCATACAGTTAGAGCTGGCAGAATGCGAGAGCGAGGACACAACAGAGGAGGACTCAGAAGAACATAATTATAATGACTGCGCATCGCTGCTAAAGATACGGGAACCATATGAAGCCCAACGATGTCAGATACGTCTACCGGTAGAAGAGATAGTCAATGAATGCACATCGCTGCGATATACAAAGTTTGAAACATTGGACCAGCGATGTGACGTATACCTACCGGAAGAAAATATAATCAATGACTGCACATCAATACAAGAAATTCAGCGATGTCCGCAGATATTATCAGAAGATTTGGCAGTCGTGAGTAACGAAAGTTGTTGTGCTTCGAGCGTTGTAACTAGCCGAGCACACTCTCCGACTGATTTTGAGCAAGAAGATCGCCCCCGCTCGGAATTTACAACTTCGGGTGTGAAGGCGATTACATGCGAAGTTATGAATAGAGGTACAAACTACGCTTTGAGAGAAGATACGCAGCAATGGAAAAGCTGTGATGAAAATAAGCGTAACAAAACGTCCATAAAAAAGAAATCGTCATGTATTAACATTGAAAAAAGTATGGCGCTTGTGAAGACTCCGCACAAGCGATTAACGGACGGAAGAAGTGAACGCCTCATAATAAGAAACAAAAATGGAGTTATGTTAAATTCGTCCGATGAACATAGTACAAGCTATAATAGCAGGAAGAAAATTAAGAAAAAACGGACAAAGCAAATGAAAACGGCATTCGATAGAAAGGATGATAAAATATCGTCTCTACCAAGGAGATCGTCGCATGACTCCCAACATTCATCTCGTTGGAAATGGAATTGGCGAATGAAACAAAGACTGGGTACACCACCGGAAAGCAAGTGTATCTCAGGTTCAACACAAGCCACAAGCCGCCATGTACAAGGCGATGTGAAAAGGGCCAACGAGAACATACCGAGAAAATTGTCTTGCTGGAATAATATACCAAAATGCAAGCGAATGCTACGTTTAATGAGGGATATGGGCTACTTCGACCATTCAACGCAATACGCTACTCTGTTACAAAATAGCGTACGTTAATACTGGACGTAGAAGAATTATAGACGTCAATACAAAAGGCGGTGTACTGCGAAAAACGAGTTGAAGAAGTTATTGGTGCCTACAGCGTCGCCAAATTAAGGGTGGTGCAACGCACGAGGGGGAGATTGTTGGCGACGAATATGTTTATTTTGAATTAAAATAATCAAGACGTCGAATACACATTTATCATCAAATGTTAATTGGCTTTTTTAAAGGAAC